GACACCATACAATTAAAATACAATACAATAAAACAAAAAAGAAATAAAACTATGTATACTTTGGTGCAATAGATGGATTTTAGGGCAATAATTGAAGTTAACTGGTTGGAGCAGCAACTTTATAAATTAAAAAAAAAGGACACTGATGTTTTTACTTCATTGTGTAGCCTTGCTTGGTGTTGTGTCTAATCTACAGTAAGTCAAAGGTGATTTCTTAGGAACTAAATAATGATTTAAGACAAAAAGGGAGAAGATAACAGACTTCAGACTCTTATCTGTGTGGACTTCAGGAAGTGCCGTCTCCTCTTATTACATGTCATGTCCTAAACTCCCCCTGGCTGACAGCAGGTATCTGTGAACTAATGAAAGCATATTCACACCTCTGCTTAAAGTGGAGCACCACGAACACCACGTTATGTGTCGAGGATTATCAGCATGATTAACGGGATTTCTGCACTTGTGCAAATAAACAATAGGCTGTAGTTTGAACGCCTCACTGTCTCTGTAATTAGACCAGCTTTTGTGTAGTTTTTTTCCTGATTGCACAAAAAATAACATTTTCTATAAAAATAGGCTAGACAAATATTACAGGATTAGGTGATGTGCTTCAGTTTTGTTTATTTTTAAAACAAATGTCACAAACTTCTGATAAAGGACATGAATGTTTAGCATATATTTTTGCATTTTGCTTAAAAAAGGCAACAGATAAAAGGTGCTTTTATGTTCCTAAAATCAATCTTACTTATTGTGTTAATACTAAAATTAATATTAAATATTCAGCTGATATTTTTCTCAATGCTTTACATTTAAATACAAAATAAAGCACACATTTGAGCAGGAGAATGTTTCAAAACACAATTGACTAAAAAAATGTTTGGCAATTTGTTTTATTATAAGTCACATACTGTAATTCAAGCCTTGATTTCTGTTTGTTGGGATAAATTCTTGGATCTAAACCAGACAAGGAGTTAGAGTAAAGGCTGTGCATTAATAACATAATACAATTTTAATGGAGTTAGATACAAGTGATGACAACAAGCACTTGTTGTGACATAGGAAAAGCATTTAAATCATGTTTTGTTTAATTAGTATTATGTGTGTGGGACGACAGTTCTCTCCACTTGCTCTTTAGCGTGGGATCGGATCCTCCCACTTCCATTTGGCACTCTGACACCTGCTGTCAGTAACAGGGACTGGGAACGCTATCAGAATGGAAATAATCTCAACACTTGTCAGCAGTTGTTGACCCTCATTTTATCTCTTAACCTTTGAAGGAGCACTGACCACAGTGACTGAAGAGATGGTATAATTTCAATGCATGCTGTACAAGTCAAGAAAGAGGAAGGGCTTGAAACAGAACATTGCAGTTTGATGAACTGTAGACCATCCCTGTCCAGCTAAAGATATTTCTGTGACTGACCCCTGTGATCAACCACAGTTGATCCATCAGGCAAGAACTGAATCCCAAAATCCTCCATGACTGTTCGGCTCAGTCAGTGTAATCTCTCGGCGAAAATCTCGCAAGGTTATCTTTGTCTGCAAAAGCACAACAGCCATGTCAATGGGCCAGTAACTGAGGGGCCAGCTCTTCTAGCTGCAGCCTGACCTTGGCATCGCATTGAGGCTTGTCATGCTGCTCAAACCCTCAAATGCCCGTCATTTTTATTGCCTTTCAGTGAATTTCAGGCATGTCACCTGTGGTGGATCTTTGTTTGTGTTGCCTCGCATTTGTCGCCCGGGTTCTGTTTTTAGACCAGCTCGCTCAGTATTTAGCAGCTGCTTTTGTTACCATAAAGCCAATTCTGTAACACCTAAACACAATATGTTACTCATGCTTCACAGAGACTCCTCCTGAAGCCCTGAGACTAACGAGACCCTAAAATATATCCCCAAATATGGTGCTCATATTTCCTTGTGTTTCTTTCTAATAATAGCAAAATATGTCAACAATACAATATTTTTAATGTGTTTAGCATTTTACCAACTGTATTATATAAAACATGATTAGTTAGAATATAATGTAATAATTTTAAACATATTCAACATTTTTTTAGAAACCATTTTATAATTTAATAGTGAATCTGGTGTGTTTGTTTCTTCCATAAAGTTTAATTTTTGTGCTGACTAATTGTGTTTGATGGCCCGATCAGACCAAGAATGAAACAAAAAAAAAAAAAGATATCAAATATATTATCCCTTTATGTTTTTGGTAATTTAGCTGTAATTTGGCAACTTATTAACTGATAACCAACAGATTTTCTAATTTTTACAGGTAATAACTTTTTTAAATAAATTTGAAAGTGTCATCTTCCGACGTTTAGCATATTAGGATATTTGCAAAGTAAATACATTTGTGTATGATGATTTAAAGTGAAGCTGCTTCCCTATGCTTCATGCTTTTATTGTAACAAACACAAGCTTAAAGGATAATGATGGAGGAATTCCTGCCTCTGTCTATTTAAAGACTGAGCTGTGGTCCCCTGGATGCTCGAGGATACCTATGACTAATCACCGCACCACATAAAGCTCCTAATATGGCCTCACCCCGTCACTGATAAGACCCTGACTTGCTGATTTCTATATTGCTCTTCCCAACTCATTAACCCCCTCCCCTCAAGAAGCCCCTACCAAACACAGACAATGACATTCCTGGTCCTAAGGCACCCTCCCATTTTTGGTCGAGAGGCTTTATTTAAAAAGAGACCTCACAGAGAAGCCCCCAACAGGTCACCATTCTATCTCAAGGTAAAGTATGGAGACAGTGGCTTTTCCACTCCAGACTTTGATTTTGAAACCTCTTTTGTGTTGAACATTTTTAATATTTTGTCTTTCCCAGGGCCAGTACACCTCAGTGCTGCGTGTTGGGGTTTATAAGGTAAGAGCATCTCAAAAAATAACAAAAAAATAAAATAAAAATAATAAAAAAGTCTACTCTACTAAATACCATGGTTGAATTGACAATTGGATTAATTACTTTTTCTGTTAACCAGGTGAAAAATGGGTGACGCTGCCATGAAAGAGTTTGGGGCAGCTGCCCCGTACCTGAGGAAGTCAGACAAGGAGCGCCTGGAGGCCCAGACTCGTCCGTTCGACATGAAAAGGGAATGTTTTGTTCCTGATTCAGACGAGGAGTACGTGAAGGCTTCGATCGTCAGCCGTGAGGGGGATAAAGTCACTGCTCAGACGGCGAAAGGGAAGGTCAGTAGACTGATAGACAAGCAGCAGAATGGTTTCTAGGTATCTCTTCTTTAACACATTTTTTTGACAAAAATAATAAATTTTCCAGACCGTCACTGTGAAGGAGTGTGATGTGCACCCTCAGAACCCACCTAAGTTTGATAAAATTGAAGACATGGCCATGTTCACCTTCCTTCATGAGCCAGCTGTGCTGTTTAACCTCAAAGAGCGTTACGCAGCATGGATGATCTATGTGAGTTAAAGGGCGGGTTTACATTTTCTAACTGCTAAACTACAGTATGTTAGCATCTGAAAACATTTTTTCTACACCTCTCTTGTCGTGGCAGACCTACTCTGGGCTGTTCTGTGTGACTGTCAACCCCTACAAGTGGCTGCCGGTCTACAACCAGGAGGTGGTCATCGCCTACAGAGGAAAGAAGAGGAGTGAAGCTCCTCCTCACATCTTCTCCATCTCTGATAATGCCTACCAGTACATGCTAACAGGTAATTTAGCTTCACTTGATACAATATGTTCAGTGAGGTTTAAAGACCTGCAGCAGTCCTTCAGGGATTTTTTTTTTTTGCTCTTTTTCAGACAGAGAAAATCAGTCAATTCTCATCACGTAAGTTTTAATCAAGTTTTTTCTTTACGCTGCAATTAAAGCTTATATCACAATGTGAAACTAGATTTATTTTGTAACTTTTAAATTTTTTCTGATATGCTCTCAGTCTCTGTTACATACTATTCCTTTAGTATGTTCAACTGTTTTAGTGATTTTGGTATAAAAAAACACTGAAGTGAATTAAATGTTTAATTTCATTCAAGATTTCTTTAAATTGGTTAATGAAGTGGAATGTTTACATGATCATGATTATGTTGTGGTATTAGATATAAAAATGAATTAGTATTGTCTGAATGAGACCGTTTGTGCTGCTGCTTTTTCTTTTAAGTTTGTTTTATTTTGTGTCTTCAGTGGTGAATCTGGTGCTGGGAAAACAGTCAACACCAAGAGAGTTATTCAGTACTTTGCCAGCATTGCAGCTGGAGGTGGAAAAAAGGAAGGAAGCTCTGAGAAAAAAGTGATAATGCTAAAATTAATACTGATTCAACTTTTATTTGCACCTTGAAATAGTTTCTATCTACCTTTTCTTCTTCAAACCTAATAATAGCGGCCATTGTTTTTTGTTAGGGCACTCTGGAGGATCAAATCATCCAGTGTAACCCAGCACTGGAAGCCTTTGGCAATGCAAAAACCATCAGGAATGACAATTCTTCCAGATTTGTAAGTTTTTCTGGTGCACTGGTGAAAAAAATTCTCTTCAGCACAATATTCGATCTAAATTATGTTTTTCTTTCTCTGTGTTTTAGGGTAAATTCATCCGTATTCATTTTGCAGCCAGTGGGAAATTGGCTTCAGCTGATATCGAAACATGTGAGAAATCTAATTTCTTTGCTTTTATCAGGTTTGCTCTTATGCTCACAATTCATCCTCTCCTAATAATGCAAACACTTTTACAGATCTGTTAGAAAAATCCCGGGTCACCTTTCAGCTCAAGGCTGAGAGAGATTATCACATCTTCTATCAGATTCTCTCCCAGAGGAAACCTGAGCTGCTTGGTAAATAAAAACATACCTTTATTGATTAGTTGTGCTTTTATCGCAATATAATTCAAAATCTTAAGCTTGTTCTGTTTTTCAGAGATGCTGCTCATCACCAACAACCCCTACGACTACGCCTTCATCTCCCAAGGAGAGACGACTGTAGCCTCCATTAATGATGCTGAAGAGCTGCTCGCCACTGATGTGTGTAGGAACGCACATAAATGTCTTAAAAATAATGCATGTTATCAGTACAATTTTGATAACATTTTCTGGTATGGAATTATTCAGTTTGGTCCAACCCAGTGTGTGATATTCTTGTGAATCAATCTTAATATTGAGATTTATGGATCTTAGTCATTTCATACCATGTATCAAGTAGTTATAGCTCAGTGATATGGCCTGCCACAACAAATAGTGTTGTACTTCATAACAGCATATAATCAGTCATTGAAAAAGTTTTTAAAACCAGGTGATGATAGGATACGAAGGAAGTGTAGTCTATGAAAAAGTCAGGTGCAGTGAAGACGTTGTGTGGGGGTAGTGCAGGACATGTACGAGAACAGTACGACAATGGTGAGATGTGCAGTAAGTGTGACAGATTCAAGGTGAAAATAAAATTGCAAACTTTTTTTTAACCAGACAGTTGCTATTTTGAGCTTTTTAGATCTTTTTATGACCAAGTTTAAAGGTGTTTAACAAAGACAGTTAAAAATGTGCATATAAGGGAATAATCTAAAGAAGGCATCTTAAAACCATACAAGTTAAAATGCAATTTTAATAATTTTTGTTGTGTGCTTTGAATCTCTAGGAGTGCAAAGAATCTAATTTTAGTCTCTCAGGGTGAAACATTCTCTGGATATGCAGAGGTTGTGTATTTTACTGAGTGAGACATTAGGAGAAAATGAAAAAAAAAATACTACCAGTGAATTAAGTGAAGACAGTTAAAACATTGCTTTGACAATGTATACTTGATGGTAACAAGGTCATTTAGGGCATCTCTCATCGGCATGCAGTCAATCACACTGAAAATGCAACACCTTTCTATTCAGGAAGCTTTTGATGTTTTGGGCTTTACTCAAGAGGAGAAGAACGGCATTTACAAACTGATTGGTGCCGTCATGCACTACGGTAACATGAAGTTCAAGAACAAGCAGCGTGAAGAGCAGGCTGAGGCAGATGGTACCGAAGGTAAGACTTCGTCTGAAAACAGTTTAGCGCAATTTAAATCTTAATGCTAAGAGCATTTTTTTTAAAACTATTTATGTCTATTTTTTTCAGATGCCGACAAAGTTGCTTATCTGATGGGCCTGAACTCTGCTGACCTCATCAAAGGTCTCTGTCACCCGAGAGTTAAAGTTGGAAACGAGTGGGTCACCAAGGGACAAAATGTTCAACAGGTAGAAAAAAATACCTCTGAGTTTCCTACCATCTGTTTGATGGAGGAGAGTAATGATGTGGGGATAAAATGACAACTGAAAATAATTTCAAAAGCTTGTATTTCTCTTTTAGGTGTACTAYGCTGTCGGTGCACTGTCTAAGGCAGTGTATGAGAGGATGTTTCTGTGGATGGTGGTGAGGATCAATCAGTCCTTGGACACAAAGCAGCCGCGCCAGTACTTCATTGGAGTGTTGGATATTGCTGGTTTTGAGATCTTTGATGTGAGTGAGCGTCTTTAGTTTTTGTTTTGATAATTTTTTACTTTCTCAAACAATGTTTGATTTAAATTCATAATGAATAAGAGAAAAAAACTTTGCAATAAACATACTAAGAAATCACACTGTTGTCTACTTCCCAGTTCAACACTTTTGAGCAGCTGTGCATCAACTTCACCAATGAAAAACTGCAACAGTTCTTCAATCACCACATGTTTGTGCTGGAGCAGGAAGAGTACAAGAAAGAGGGAATTGAATGGACTTTTATTGACTTTGGTATGGATCTGCAGGCCTGTATTGACCTGATTGAAAAGGTGGGATACTGAATTATTTAATATTAACATAAAATAAA